GTGATGGCTTCAAACGTCAACATTTTTACCCTAACCCCCCCCCCCCCCCCCCCTTTAAAAATGTAACACCGTAATGTTCACTGCTAGTTCATTTTAACTGACTTACGTTTGTATGTTTGTCTATGAGTATGTTTTAACACAAGTAATTTGACTTCTACTTGAGCAAAATTTCTTTTAGGTAACAGTTAGTGGCCGTTCACATGGTCACGTGCTGCTGTAACCGTAATGTCTCTTTTCCAGTTGCTGGTGTTTCTGTTACTGGCAGCCTTTATTGCTGCTCTGTCTCAACCCAGTTAATGTTGCTATTCATCGCCAGCTACCAGCTGTACATTTAAACTTACACTAGTTCTGCTCAAACACAGCTCGCTCCTTTTAGCGACTTTCACGCTAATTCCACTGTTGTTTACATGCTATTCAGATCTGCTAGTTACTTTTGCTTAGCAGTTAGCGACGGCTTCGCTCTCTCTCTCTCTCTCTCACTCTCTCGCTCTCTCTTGCTCAGTGTGTCTCGGATCAACAAATGAACTAGATCATTAGATTGTGATGTTTATCACAACTGGCAATATGTGCTACCTTACCTTGGACACACAGCTTCGCTTGCTCCAGTCTTTGCCCATCTGTGTAAACAGTATCCGTCAGTGTTGATAGGCTATTGCTCGTGAGGTGCAACCGGTCAGATAGTGTTGTGTGCTCCAGAGCACAGAGTGGTGACTACAGACAGGGAGAGGAGTCAAAGTATTGCATTTTAAAATTAATTTATTTCATCAGAGATTTTGGTTTTAAAAAAAACACAAAACAATAATGGTAAAAATGCTGAATCAGCCAGGCCGATAATCGGTCGACTCATTGTATGCAGACAGTAGAGACAGCACAGGTAGGGAACACGGGGGGAAGTGACTGACAGTTTCAAGTGGTTTGGTCCTGTTAAATATGCACTGAAATCAATGTGAGGAAATGTTACCATTCAAAAGGCAGAGCGATGCACAAAGATTGGACAGAATACAAAACACAGAAGTCAAGCTCACATTCTGAAAGCTGCTCCCCAGGTGCATAAATGTATTAACACCTAGACAGGTGATGTCTCTGGGCTGATGAAAAATTATATTTAGATTGTATTCATTAAAGATTAGGTGTGTTTTCTTTCACAACAATGAGCCGTGATGGCTGTGCAGAAAGGAGCATTTGCTCAGTGAAAACCTGATGAGATGAATCACGTAAAAGAAGATTTCTCTCAAGGACGTTATGGATAACAGTGGGAATACAGTTGAAAATACGGACAGCTGTTTCCATTAACAGCTGCCATAGTCAACAATTATCTGTATTTGTCCTTTGCTTTCTCAAAAATGAATAGTGAACACAATAAAGAATGCTCTCAGTTGCATTGGGAGCATTTCTTATTAAACCAAAGGGGCAGAGGCGAGATTCATGCTCAAATTAATTGTATGTCTTGGCTTCAGTGACAAATAGAAGGAATGCTAACAAGCCTTTTATAAAGGGGCTGAAAAATGAACAATTTACCTCAAGTGTAACTGGTGTGAAAACCAGCCAGCTAAAGTTGATGTTGTAAATCTGCAGTGTATTAGTGACTTAAAATACAACGGCAGTCTTGTCACGGCCACTGTGTGTTGCTGTGTGTTGCTGTGTGTTTCTGTGCATCTGCGTGTTGTTTGTCACTGCACTTTTACACCCAGAAGACATCCAGTGACAGCGGTAAAGTTATGAAAAACCACATGGACAGGTGTAGGACTAACGGTACCGCAGTGTGTGAAGCTCTCTGTCATGGAAGTCTTGATATACGCAGCAAATATAGAGGCAGGAGATAAAAAGAAAGACATATGTCAACTGGAGGAAAGCAAAGACTGTCCCAGTTCTGTAGCATTAATTAGATGGGTCAAGGTTGGGGATTCTGTGGTTTGTGTTGTCATTAACAACCCTGCATGGCTTGCTGGCTGCCATGGCAATGCGTCAAAAATAGAGTAGTGGAAGATAATCGTTCATTGCTGGGTGGGTGGATAGGTTGGTAGCAAGAAAGCGGTGCAGACTGTCTTCACAGTGTAATCAGTTGTAAGGATTTCTGTCCCTTTTTTTCATGCAAATGAGTTTCTCTTATTTACCACAGGACTGCAGCAAGGTTTAAATAACTGTAAAAATCTGACAATTATTTTCAATATCAATTAAACTGCTGATTATTTCATTTTGATTAATTGAATATTTGCTCAGTCTATTAAAAGAACAATATGTAAGTATTTTAGTTTAAGACATTCAAAAATTAAAGATTAAAGATTGTGAAGAAATAACAATTTTGATGTGATGTCAAAGACGTCAAATGTTTTGTGTAGCAGAGATATCTACTAAAACGATAGCATGCTAAGCAGGTAGTCCCGGCGCTCAAGTCTTATAGTACCGCTGCTTACCTGTAGCGTCCAGTCTGCCGTCTGTCCAACATGAGAGGATGAAAGAGCAACTGCGAGTGGGCAGCCATCACTGTAACAGCTGATTATTGTTCTCTGGTCTGTTTTCCTCAATCCTCCCCTCCTTTTTATTTTTCCCGTCTTAATGCTAATGACTTATCTGTAGGTCCACGGCCAAGTGCAATATCCAAATCACAGGAGCTGCAAATTTTTGATAAGGGTTAAATGTGTCACGACATACCATTAATGAATGAAGCGCTGTGGTCCTACAGAGCCAGGCGTAAGGAAACATGTTTGTTTGGTACAGACGCCACTAAAAATCACCGTCACTTCTTTCAGTCAAAACGAAATGTAAAATTTACCATTCTCACTGAAACCGTGACTCATTGTGTAGTAATATCTCTCAACATATGATGATTTGATCAGCCAGCAGGAAGTAAGGATTTATTAAGTCAACATCCAAAAGGCACTGAAAGTCGGGAAGTTGTATATGGACACAACAATTCAGAGATGTACTGAAGGGCTTCACCATGCAAAGCCTGATGGGCAATAACTAAGATTTTATATGTAACTCTAAATTCTACTGGCAGCCAATGGAGAGAGGCCAACACTGGAGTTATATGCTTCCTGCACTTTGCCGTAGCAAGAAGACAGGCTGCAGCACTTTTGTCTTCTCTCCCTCTTCTAAACTGAAACATTTTGATGAAGCAAAACAAAGCAACTTGGCGGCATTTTGTATTGGGCTCAGTAAATAGCTCCCACAGATGCATGATCTGGTACAGTAGTAATAAAAACAGCAGATACCAAATGTAAGAGGAGTTTGTATAGGAGGCCTGTTCCTCTGTTTAGTATTCTGCCTGACTCTTTCAATCTGTGTCCTGTCACTCTACTTCAGTATTTCCAATTCAGCATAGTGACATTTTGAAATTTGTTCAGCACCAATCAACAGACACACAACAGAGCAGAGCAGAAGTTTGTTCCATGTTCGCCCCTGTCCCTCATGATGGACAGTCTGAAAGACACACTGAGCAAGAGGAGCAGCTGCTGGAGCCAAAGAAAAACAGGAAAATAGAAACAGTTTGGTGAGCTGGGTTAGACTGAGCGAAGAAGAGAGGTAATGAGAACGTAAAAGAAGGGAGGCAGATCAAAGCGGGAAAGGAGAGAGGGATTAAAGTGGTCAGCGAGGCTAATGGCAACAAATGACAGTCTGTCTGTTCTTTCTCTCTCTTTCTCCACAGGTTTTCTACAGAACAGGAAGCCAGACTTCAGGACAGACAAGGAAAGACACAAAAAACACAGACATGGACATTTTATAATGAAACAGTCACTTTCGCAACTTTACTGAGAGCAGTGATTTGTGTTTTATGGGTCGAGAAACACATACACATCAAAAAGTAGTTGTTATTGCGGTAGAAAGTCAGCAGTGTAACTTGGATCAGTATGTGTGCAGGTGAGTTAAGCAGGTGTTTAAAGGGCATCAGATGAACATGGTCAGGGTAGACAGCTGGCATAAAGTGGGCACTGCATGGGTTCTACCCTTGGATTACAGTTTAGCAGATTAGCGCTAAGCAGCAGTCGCCTCAAGCTCACCGGCCCAATGAAACTTACGCCGCCAGCCAATAGGTCGTTCACAAACACACACACTGGCACAGCTGTTGAACACAATTAAATTAGTGCAACTGGCAGACGGTGTGCAACCCTAGCTTAACTCCACACACACACATTATATCACCGGTATATATACACACACACACACACACACACACACATGCGCACACTCTGGGCAGCAGGACAGATGCTGCCCCCGCCCTTCCTGCCGTCATCCTCTCAAAGCCAGCTGGAGAGAAGATGAGATTTGGGGCTGATTGGTTTTGTCTTTTTTTCCATTGCACCCTTTGCACATCACTCCATCCACCGCTTTCAACTTTCCTTGGTGCAGCCTCGACCCCGGATGAACGATCTTCATAAAGTACTTTCCATCAGGAGGACATCCTCCAATCTGCTTCTGATGCTTTGATTATTTCTCCGAAAGTAGTTCATATTTATATCCTTTGTCTTTTTTTTTTTTTTATTCTTCATCTCTATGGAGTCTCAGCTGAACAGTGAAAGGATGATGATGAGTTATCAACTGCAGCGCTGACATCTAGAAGGTGATAGAGGGAAATGCTGCGCTTTCATTGAAAGAGCGTCATGAAATCCTCTGCCACTATCTTTAAGAGTTTTTTTTTGCTTTAAGATTTCATCATTCACCATAAAAAACTGAAACTTTTTATCCCAACTTTGAGAACTTTGTGTTTGAGGAAAGTGCGCAGAAGAACAGCAACAGAAGAGTTCTTTAAACTCCACGCACCAAATAGGTCACAGAGACTCAGTGAAACAGACACAGACAATGGACTGAGAGGGGTTCAAGAGGAAAGGAGAGACCTTGAGACTGAGAAAGACTAGACGAGGTGAACCTCAAGAGGAAGGCAAAGAGAGGAGGGAAAAAAAAGCACTGAGAAAACGGCAGATAACAGAGGAACCAAGCAGAGAAGAAAAGACACCAAAAGCAAAAGAGAAGGGAAGAGAGGTATTTTTTTTTTGTTGAGGATGGCTAGGGACGTGATGGAATACCCTTCAGGCCAAACCTCCTCCCTTGTACTGCTCCTCCTCCCTCTCCTCCTCCCTTCTTCCCTCCCTCTCTCCACTGCTCTCAACTAGTCTGCCAGCCTTTCTTTGGCTACGTCGCTTTAGTGCAACGAGAGAGACAGAAAAGAGAGAAAGCGGAGCACTGGAGCCAAGCTTACCATTCGCACAGATGGCAGCGAAAGCGAGAAGGACCTGCTGCATCCATCCACTGGATTTCACTGAGGATGGACACTGCAGCTAATGAAAACAAGAGGGAGGGAAAAGAGAGAGGTGGACACAAAGGCAGTGAAAGCCAGAGAAGGTGAAGTTAGAAAGTAAAAAAAAAAAAAAAAAGGAGGGAATGAACAAATGATAGAAAGGTGGAAAAAGCTGAGGCTGTGCTCGTAGCTGAAGGAGAGATCACCTCACACTGAAAGCAAAGGACTTCCGAAGCAGCCAGGCTCCAGCTGTGTGTGATTCAGCTGTGACTCCTGCATGTGTGTATCAGCACATTGCTGTGTGTTGTACGAGCACATCACATAGCTGTGGAGGAGAGGGAGGGAGAGGATCCAGTGGGAGACGAGAAGAAAGCGGTGGAGCATCGCTGAGTGCACAGCTTGACTGTGAGACAAATTGACTCTGACACACTGTGTTCTGTCAGTGTGTGTGTGTGTGTGTGTGTGTTTCACTGTTCTGATATCGTGGGTGATCCTGTGGTTCAGAGTCATCGTCAGGGGGTCGTCCCAATCGCGCTGACTAGACCTTGGTGGTCGTTGCACAGAGGCGGAGGAGGTGGTGGGCTGGGGACAGTGGCAGGCCCAGGGGTGGGGGCATGGCCGTGGGGGGGCCGCATCCCGTCCTCCACCCTGCACCGGGACAGGCGCTGGGGCTGGGGGTCCTGGGGCGGTGGTCCATCCAGGGGAGCTCCCAGACTCTCCGAGCTCAGGCCCTGGCTGAGCGGAGGGGTGGCTTGGGCGGCAGGGGGTGGAGGTAGTACAGGCGGAGGAGGCGGAGCGGAGAAAGGAGGCAGGGTGAGATGTTCCCGCAGAATCTGGGTTCTCCTCGGCTCGCTGGTTCTCGTCTTTCTCACCTCGCTCTTCTTCTCCGTCTCGCTCCGCGGGGGCGTCAGCTTCAACTACCTGGAGCCACCTGGGTGGGAGGAGTCGAGGCGAGTGAAGCTAGTGCCCAATTATGTGGGCGCACACCGCCTGACGCCACCTGACACCCCGCTGCAGAAGACATGTGCCTGCCCACGCTGTGTTGGAGACCCAGGTGTTTCTGATTGGTTCGATGAGAACTACGACCCGGATATCTCACCTGTTTGGACCAGAGACAACATCCAGCTGCCCTCTGATGTCTACTACTGGTGGGTGGTAAGTAACCATATGTTATAACTTTACCTGCTAGAGGTTTGCAATACAGATGTGAAGTGGGAGGAGCCGCTGATTCCAGAGGTGTTTTTCCCTGTTTAAATTTTTTCTTTAAATAATATACTGAACATAGAAACAAAGGACTCTCCTCCAGTTTTTTTGGCATTGGCAACAGTTTTGATTATTTCATCTTTGCCTGTGAAATAACGCTTTGTTTGTCATTTATACCCATGAGCCTCGGTCACTGTTGCCATAGAGAAGATTCCAGTCAGAGGCACGAATCAGAGCTGGAGTGAACTCAAAAGGCTTTGTTGTTGAATTTGTGAACTAAACGTGGCACTGCAGTTACTGAATTCATCAGAAATGGATCTGAACGGATTTCAAGCTGCAGACTGTGTTTTCTCAACACTGTCATTTTTAGCTCCCGTCCTCCGTTGGTGCTGAACATTACCGAATTAATAAAGCCTGGTGACTGGTTTGATATGATGCACCTTAGGAGATATTTTCTAACACACTTGGAAGTCTGGTACACTCTTGATTTTAACCAGCAGAGTTTCCAATTTTCAATCATGTAACATTGTCTCTGAGGAAAAATGAAGGGGACTTTTACCTCTGGAACCAAGGGTAACCAGAATCAATCTTGAATATTACGTGTATAAATCTGTTTTCTGCTAGACTCCATTTTGGTGGATAATTCAACCCTTCTGAATTTCTCTCACCTGCAGACTGTGTTTTTCTGATTCAATATTTCTAACATCATTGATACTCATTAAAAACAACACAATAATAAGATGGGTTGTACACTATGTCCTGTGTACCTCACAACTTGTACGAAAACAGAGTTTTACAAACTGTGTCTGCAACACCATCAAACACTTTACATTGTTGTGTATGGCACAGTAGGAGCGGAGGCGCAATCGGTCACATGGAAGATATAAGTTTATTAGGGCACCAACATAGGGGAAGTAATGCATCATAATCGCATATCTCTCTCTCCATCCTTTTCCCTCCAACCAATCCCTCCTTACAAGTATAACATGCTCCTCATGTATCCCTGCCAGTCATATGTAATGGTGTTAGTGGAGAAGTGGAACATTACAGGGTTGGCCACTGGGCTTTTCTGAAACCACAACTGAGTAATGACTAAAAATGAAATAAATACATCCTCAGAGAGAGTGTGAGCGAGAGATAGAAAGCACTTAATTAAAGAATTCTTGCATTAACATCCCCCCTCAGTGCATGTGCGAGTTGAATTTGTCTTTGTGAGTAAGCTTCCACGGCTGTGTACTCATTTGTGTGTGCATTTCAACTTGAAAATATAAATGTGTGTGTTTGCGTGTTTGTTTCCAGAATTATCTTCAGTGTTGCGCGGCGTCCTTCAGTAGCAGGTTTTAGAGTCCCGTTTCAGCACAGTATCTGTAGTCCTGCGCTGAAATGGCATGAAGCTGCAAACACAGGCCGACAGCTGCCAAGTCATTAGGTCACACTGCAACGGGGAAGAGGGGAGAGAGACAGAATGAGAAATAAATGAGAGGTTGAAAAGACGAAGAGGAATGGGAATGGATAGGGAAGGAATAGGGGGAGATCAAACACAGGATAAGGCAGGAACATGAGAGACAGGGAAAAGGGAGTGGTGAAATGATGAAAGAGGGAAATAAAGTAGATAAATAGGGAGGAGGACAGAGACAGAGTAGGGAAGGAATGGAAGAGTGTGAAAACAAACTATAGAACAAAAAGAAGAAAGGTACAGGGCCATACCAAACAGGATATATATCAGTCTCTGCAGACCTATTCGATCAGGGTTTCTCTGTTTGGACTCTGTTATTCTGCATGAGACAGCACACTGTGATACTGCATGACTTATCTGCTCATATACTGTACAAAGATGCTGGCCATGAATGCATCATTATGTCACTGCAAAGTTTTTAAAATTGTTAGTGGGTTTAAAACAAGGATTTTAACTTCTTCTTTTTTTTTTTTTTTTTTTTTTTTTTTTAACTATTGCTCCCACTCGTCCGATGACTTTCACAAATTTTGTATGGTTTTAAACTTAAAATTTAGTGGAAAAAAAATCTAGAATATCTTGGAAAGGTCTTGGACGGATGGACAGCATTTGTGGGAAAACCTGCATTTGTGAAAGAACGTGTAGAAAGGTCTGTATTTAGAAAGACCAACAAGTCATTACCTGTAGGGATGATACCTGCTGACTTCGAAATGCAACTGTACGAGAATCGTGCCATGACTTTATTTCTAATGCTCCCTGTTCCCCATTAATAGAAATGGCAAACTTACTCCATGTTTCCCCGTTGTTTGATAAAGTCAGTATAATCTTCTTGCACAGCAAGAGCCACATCAGGCCTCTATATGTCTTTCTAACTAATGTTTGTTTTTCCGGGCACCATAATGTGAAGGTGAAGGGAAGTTCAAGTGTTTGCTGTTGGGAATAAGAAGACAGAATAATGTGGTTGTTTCCTGGCAACACTGATTTACAGTGAGATGTAGCTGTGTAAGTGCTCACCAGTCAATTATTTGCTTTTCCCTCATCTGAGAGAAATTCTTCAGTCCAAAGTGGTTTAATTTGGAGAGTCAACACATCCAAACCAAATGGTGAAATGAATTCCCTGCTTGGTGTTTTTTCTTTCTCCCTCGTCCCATCTATTTGCTTTTAGCACCCAATCCAATCAACCAATGTTAGGAAGGAAGAAAAAGAAATGATTATGTGTATGCATTATTCAATCAGACCTAATGTTTTATTGTGCACTCTTGTGTCAGGAGAGGAACGAATCAAACATTCAATGAGAGAAACATTTCAAAGAATGATTTGCTGTCCAGGACTTAAATGATGTTTTAGTTTGGCGAAACATTTTTGCACACAAGATTTTAAACACTCAGCCCCCTAATTTTAACTGATCACATTTATTCATCTATTCACATTTATTCATGCAGGTGGTTTTCAGTAAATACATTTGCATTTTTGCAATTTGCATCATACTGAGAGTTGAGACAGAAGAAATGCTTGAGGTTTGGACATTTGCCTCCTAATGTTAAGAGTCTAGGATTTTGTCATTTGTGAATCATTTACCATATTTAGTGAGCTTCCATTAGCTACGTATCAGTTACACCTGGAAGTTACTGTGTGCAAATATGAAGCAACAACTTATCTTCACAAGAAATATTTGTGTGGTGTGATGCCTTTTTAATTCCGTGTTGCATAAATCTCCACGCTTACAAGGCTAAGTTTAAGGTCAGCTGGTGCAGATGTAGTAGCAGTGGTTTGTGTGAAATATTGTTTTAAATGGAAAAGAGAGAAGTTGTATTTATTTGTAATTGAGGGTCAGGAATCTTATACTTTAGGAGGCAGAGGACAACTGACAGGAAGGAAACAAGACAGCACGGGCATGGCTGCCGAAAAAACATCTGCCAAAAATTAGTTGCCCCTGAACAACAGTGGTGCAGCATGCCAAGCCGGCTCTGGCATCATGCAGAGAGTCGGAGACGAGAAGAAGGCAAAGGATGGAGGGATCAAGGGGGATGGAGAAACAGAGGAAAGCAGGAACGAGTTGGAGAGAGAGAGAGAGAGAGAGAGAGAGAGAGAGCAAAGGGAAGTAAAGGAAAGATTTAGAGGTCTCAAATCAGCACTGATGAGCTGCATGGTGCACAGGCGTCCCAGAGAGACAAAGAGATGAAGAAAGACAAGAGGAGGAGAAGAAACAAAGAGAGGAGCAAGGGAAATTAAAGAGAAGGAATTAGACATGAGGGCAAGGAGACTGCTGGAGAGGATGTATGAATGAAAATGCAAGCGAATGAGATCTGTGTTGGGAGAAGCGAATTAAGGCCGATGGTGGGTGAAAAGGAAGTGGCTACAAAGGAGTGGGAAATGAAGATTGCTGTGTGGGAGAGAGTGAGAACAACAGAAAGGAAAACATGGTTACAGAGAGGAGCAGCCATGTGGTGGCTGCCAATATCCTGATGGAACTTTTGTGTGAGTGCGTTTTTGTTTTGGGGGAATGTGTTTTGTGTGTGCAGGTGCTTTCTTTCTCTTTACACGCGTGAATGCACGTTTGCCTGTGTGGTTTGGCAGATGCTCAAACTGGAACAAGATTTTTTTTTTTTTTTTTTTAAATTGGACAGCTTCTCTTTGTTAGCCGCTGCTACTACGTTTCATCATTCTCTTTACATCCCACAATGAGGCAGCTCAAAACCATGATCCAAAAAAGAAAAAAGAAAGAGATACTCCACATTAAAATGACTAGACAAAGCAGAAATACATATTTATCCGCTTGACTGTGAAGTGAACATCTGGCTTCGCAACATTTCATGCCTCTGTGGATCAAGATCATTCTGTCAATCTGAAGCGACTCGTGTCTGCCTTAGGATAAATTCACAGATTTTCAAGTCTCTCTTAAATCAATAGTCGGCTGCCCACATGAACACTGAAATAGGTTTTGTCAGCTGGAATCATTCCTCTTGCTCAAACAGGCCATTTATATACCCCCTCTCAATGTAAATGATGGGTTGGTTTCTTCCACAGTTAATCTGATATTTTAGCATGAAATTTGCTGTTTCATGCTAAAACTGTTTGATATACATCGAAGTACAGACTCAATAAGGTTTCAATTTTTTATTTTACTGAAATAACAGTTATTCAATGAGGGTTTCAAAAGGTTAATTGTAAAAACCAAAAACAAACTGACAAAAACAGAAGTAAAAAAAAACTTAAATAAGAAAATACAAAACAACTGAAGATGTAATATTTATCGCCTGCGGGTGGCGAATCTATCAAATTACCCATATTATGCTTTTTGGGGATTTTCCCTTCAGTGTGTTACATACTGTAGCTCTTTTGTGCATGTAAAAGGTCTGATAAGTTACACAGCCCATGGTAAAGGGAGTCATTCTCTGCTTCTGAAGTCCCTGACACACCTCATTTATATTCCAGGCTTTTCTTCCGTAACTTATCTACACAGATATGTCACACATTTACATAATGTTCAACTGCTGGCTAGTTGGGCACACCCTCAAACAAAGGGAGTTACAGTCGGTAGGAGCGCAAATTTCTTTTGTGTACAACTAACCAACGGTGTAGTCCCAGTGTATGAAAATCACATAAAGTATAATTTAATTTACTCTTAAAAACACCCTTGTAAAGAGCACTGCAGATGTTATACATAAAGTAAGATATAAGAAAGATTGTGTTAATGTATCTGCGTAGTTTTTGTTTCACTCACAAGGGTTTAAATCTTCTAAAGAATCATATCTATCATTCAGTATTTTAATATCGGCTTTAATGAAGTGACCTTTAAAGTAAAAACACTTGAATGGATTTCATTGTTTTCAGACAAGATGTTCAACAGTGCATTAAAGACATTTTTACAGTGGTGAAAAGAAAAAATCTGAATCTGAAGTTTTCTTGTGCAGGACACTAATAGCTGCACATTCACGGTGTTATGTGTAGGCTACATTAAGTCTTTCTCAGTTGGGTAAGTTGAAGACATAATTACCTTCAGTATCATCTTCCTCCTCACTTTGTCCTTCTTTCAACTTCATTTACATCTGCTGTTCTTTCATGTCTCCCGACTTCTTCTTCATTCAACGCATAACTTTTTATTCTAATTTTAATTATCTTCTATTAATTAAGCAGAGCCTTGTTGTCATCTCTGCTGTCACTTGTTTATCCCCCCTGAGTAGAACAGAAGGTCCTTGAAAACCTGGAAAGACACAAAGAAACTTAGGCACTCCGTCTGTTTAGGCGTAATTTTAAAGAGAGCCACATGTAGTCTGAAAAAAGCAAAATCCAGCACTTCTTGCTTTCCTTTTGACATTTTTCATCCTCTCTTTCACTGCCATCTGTTTTTTAAATTCAGCTTGTTTTTGACATGTGGACAGCAATGCCCCTGCTCCTCTGACCACCGCTCACCCAGTCTGACTGCATCCTGTCAGTCTGACACATGGCTGTTACCTAAACACACACACAGATACAGACACACACTCAAAGGCAGGCGCAAGTACTTGCTTATTTGCACATGAATGCAGGCAAATGCATGCATACACACGTACATGGGCACACAGAAAGTAACTAAATTTAAAGTCTGTTGTCAGATCCAATTTGTCTGCAGAGGAGAAACTACACATCCTAACCATTCTTCCTCTCTCTCTCTTTCTCTCTCTAGATGTTACAGCCGCAGTTTAAACCCCACAGCATCCAGCAGGTGCTGCTGAGGTTGTTCCAGGTATTTTATATTATTAATTCATCTTTCCATTACCATGGTGCTTTCAAATCAGCCAAGTCATTACTTCACACTCTTGGGCAAAGGCTGACAGAAACAGATTGTCTTTATTAGACATCAGGTTTATCAGTGACCCAGCTCATTCCTTTTTGAATGTATCTGTATATATGTCGTTTTTTTTCCATCCTGACTCTCAGCACAGCATCATGCTGTCACATTAGGCTGGATATTCAAATATCTCAGTCTGGCTCCCCGGGGGCAGAAAGGACTTATGTATTTTTCATGGAAGGTCTCATGAAGAATTCACCCCAGTATTGAGAGCAGGATGTATTTTTACAATCAGGTCTGAAATGCAAGTTAGGTTATTTTATGTCTCTTGCTGTTCCAGTGCTAGTGTCCTACTTCATTTCCTTTGTAGCTTGAATCCAGTCTTACTTTACTCCATCACGACTGTCCATCGCAGGTGATCCCCGGAAGGTCGCCGTATGGCTCATGGGATCCGGGGCGGTGCCTGCGTTGCGCTGTGGTGGGGAACTCTGGAAACCTCCGCGGCGCCGGATATGGGGCCACCATTGATGGACACAACTACATCATGAGGTGAGAGAAGTAAATGCAATGGATAGATGAGCAACCTGATAGAAAGCAGAGTTGACGCAGGGCTGCGCCAGACAGACCAAAAGATGGATAAGATAGACGCCAAGACGAAGGCTGAAACTGGGAGATGAGGAGAGGAAGAGGCGGAGGCGGAGGAGGCGGAGGGAGACAGCTGAAGAGCAGGGGCGAAGAGAGTTCATGTGAGGAAAGCACTATACCATCACAGTGCAGAGTATGTGCCATTAAAGTTACATCATCAGCATTAAGTTTGTGTGAGCGCGAGCGGGAGATGCACTTATAAAATAGATGATAGAGTACTTTATTAATCCGAAAGGAAAATTGCAGACTAAAGAGGCAGACAGCTGATCTGTGCGTCTGATACTATATTTAATCTCACTGTTTAATGCTGTCTGCTGTCCAGCTCTCCTATTGGTTAAGAGAGAGGTCACCTGGCTCGAGCGAGGTCACCACAGAGAGCTTTAGGTCCAAAGAAGCTGAAAGGCGTAGATTGTGTCTCTCGCATACACACCCGTGCACAGAGGCACATAAATCCCTTTGTGTCGGTCTCTTCCCCCGGCCGTTGTCACGCAGCACTGATGGATCACAGAGCGCGATTGTCAGTTGGCATGAGCACGCGGCTATATGTCGTTTACTGCAGCATTGTGTGGAGGCCACGTGCTGGTGCTGTGAAAGGAATGACTAGTATTTTGTACGCTGAAGCCATTAGCTGGCGTCGCACTCTCAGCAGGCTTGTGTGGGCAGCCTCCAACCTCCATCTCCTGTTTCATGTTCTCATGACTGCGGTTTGATTCTCATTTGTTCTTAAAGTCAGCGTGGCCCACTGCAGTCCCACCCACCCACTGTCTGTCTGCATTTTCACTCCCGCTTTCGAACAAGCATCTGTTTTGTTCACCGACATATGGGTAGGTGCACTCAGTGGCCATTTTTTTTTTTTCAGGTGCATCTTCCTGTTTACATAAACAACTCACTCCTCCAGACAGTGAGTCACATCTATTGTAAATACAGCAAAGTTCTGAAGCACACAGAAAGCCTAGTGGTTTAGTTCCTGTCTGACTGAAGATTACACTGGACTTAAAAAGGCTTATTATACTATATAATAAGATGTAACCTGAAGCAGATGATCTTCTTCTGCACAAGAAAAAGAAACTAAAGAGAAAATTTTACTCTGGCACTATTTTCAGTTTTGTATTTCTTTAGTAACAGTTCATCCTTTTGGCCTTTAACGCTGAATCCCAAAAGGGAGGAGAAAAACAAACATGTTAAATAATAAGCTTTTTGAATTGGACAGATCCAGACCAGCTGTTTTTTTTTTTTTTAATTGAGCTTGCATTCACCAAATGGCCAAAGAAAAACACGAAATCAAATAAACGTTAATGTTGGCCCGTTGTGTACAGATAATGTCAGTTTTGTGTTGGTAGCAAAAGGCTGAAAAGTCAACGAATGCAGGTTTAACACACTGACATGAAACTGATGTTGATCTTCTCTCACTGCTCCTTCACAATCCGCTAAGCCATGGAGCAAGTCGGCACAAGCTGCAAAGATTACAGGAACTACATGATGCCATCAACTAGGGCTGGGCGACGTGGCCAAAAATATTATCACAATATTTATTTTTCATATTGATCGACAAACCATTTTCACCGACTTAGTCATTTAATAGCATTACTAAGGAAGGAAATTCACCTTTTTAATTTGAAGTTCATGGGGTATATTCAGGGGTGGGGTGGCACCTTTCTAAATGATGGAGAAGGTTTGTTGTTGTGTTTCCCGACTTCGTTGCCACAAGTTACTTGCAATGGATATGGCTCCGCTGTTTATGCAGCTTCAGAAATTCAACATGTTTTCCTCTTGTTTTGACCCTCCATGTGTCAGCTACATGAGCTCATTGCTCAGTGATTATGCAGATGAGGGTTGACACAAGCGCACAAGAGATACATCAATCAAAAGTGACTCTTTACCACCATTGTCGGAATTTTTTTTCATAATTATTTAGATGATTTGAAATCCCCGGCAGGAGGCCTCACACATTGACAGATAGCAACATGTGAAGACATACAACTCTCATGCTGTTTCTCTCTTGCACCTAGGATAAATCTGGCCCCCACAGTGGGCTATGAGGAAGACGCAGGCAGCCACACCACTCACCACTTCATGTACCCGGAGAGCGCCAAAAACCTGGCTGCCAACGTCAGCTTCGTCCTGGTTCCCTTCAAAACACTGGATCTTGTCTGGATCACCAGTGCTCTGTCCACCGGCCAGATTCGATTGTAAGATGACACACACACACACACACACACACACACACACACACAGATATGCATAAGCATGGATTAACACATATGTCAATGCACATAGAATAATAGAATACTGGGTATACAGTGCATACAACATTTATTGGCATGCACCATTTGACTGAAGGACACACAGACACATAAGTATAGTTTGAGGGCACACACACACACAAACACACACACACAAACACACACACACACACACACACACACACACACACACACACACACACAGCAGAGTTATTAGAAGCTAGAAAGTTACTGGGTTGAAACAATTTGTCAGCCGTCAATCATCCAAAATTCATAGCTGCAGCAATCACTTAAAGTGCTGATAGAATATGTTTAATCAATTCCTCTCTCTCCCTCCCTCTCTCTCTCCCTCCCTCTCTCTCTCCCCCAGTACCTACGCTCCAGTGAAGCAGTTCCTCCGCGTAGATAAAGACAAGGTGTGAATTTTCAGCATTAACGGCAATTACTGTCGGCCATTCGCACATGCTCACAGTGATCTGCAAACACATTAATCTACAGTGCGTTGAGGAAGTATTCAGACCTCGTCATTTTTTCAGAATTTGTCATTTTGCAACTTTAAGCTAAATTTTTTAAATTCATTTTGTCTCTCATCAGTCTCCACCCAGTACACCATAATCACAAAGCGAAAAGAGAATTTTTGAAATGTTTGCAAATGTGTTAAAAATGCATTTAAATGATATTAGCATAAGGCTGCAACTTAAAAAATGTGTAAGAATCAAAGGGGTCTGAATTCCTATACAAATGCACTGTGTGCAGCCTCACACACACATACACATGCACTCACACACACACACACACACACACACACACACACACACAAACACACAAACATACAGTGACCCTGCTTTGCTTCAATTATACCATCCCCTCCCCATTGTTGATGAAGGATTACAGATAGATTATAAACCTTCCCTTTGTTTTGAATAATCTTCTGCTTGCTCTTTAATCTGTGAAAATAAATAAACTCAAACTAATCCCCGCCCTGTGAAGACTTTGTGAGTAACCTCGCCTGGTCAGAGACACAGTTTTTAGTGTCTTTGGAGTCGAACCAAAAATATAGATTTATAAGATTTCCTCCTCTGCTGCGCAGCTCTAAGCAGCCTAAAGCCCTGTTTGTTGGGACTGAACATTTTGTTAACCAAAATGAATCACTATTCATTTGCTTAATAATGCTTTTAATCCGTCACAGCAATCAATAACTCAGAGAGTATTAACATTTAACTTTGCAAAATCTTTTTCTTGTTCAGCTGGACCTTTTGAATGTGCAGCAGATACGAGTCGCACGAGGTTATCTTCCCTGTGTTACTGTATAATCTGAATCTGAATTCAGAGAAACTTGGATTAACTTTTCACAACAATGAATATTTGTAAAAACAAATCCACATTTTGTGGCAATGACGTGTATCGTTCTGAAAATGAGACTATGGGAGAAACCGTGAAACAGACATGCGGGAAATGTTTTCCTCTCCTCCTCCGTCCCATGCAGGAGCTTGTGAAATTTACAGCAAGTAAACAGTATGTTACAGTATTTTCCTCTCTCTCGGTCTCTGTCCACAACCCAGGTCCAGATCTTTAACCCGGCATTCTTTAAATACATCCACGACCACTGGACCCAACATCATGGGCGCTACCCCTCCACTGGCATGCTAGTGCTTTTCTTTGCCCTTCACGTCTGTGATGAGGTCAGTGTTTCTCTTTCTCTCTTTGCTTTCTCATCAAACTGTAAATCCTTTGCTTCATGCTGAAACTATACTTGCATCCTATTCATCCTGCACAGATACACGTGTCATCACACACTTGCTTTCCCTACACTCACTTGTCGATCTCCTCCAGGTGAATGTGTTTGGTTTCGGGGCGGACAGCCGGGGAAATTGGCACCACTACTGGGAGCAGAACCGCTACTCCGGAGAGTTCAGGAAGACTGGTGTCCACGACGCCGACTATGAAGCCCAGATCATTCAGCGGCTGGCCAAGGCCGGCAAAATCACTGTATTCCCTGGAAAATAACCAGCAAATCACCCTGCGTTTATCTAAGGGTTCATGTTAGAAAACTGGTTTGGGAACAGACACTATAGAGGCTGCTTAGAATGTGTTAGATATTCTCTCTTTTACTTACCTGCACCAGTTTGGGTTCCCAGTTGAAATAAACCCAATGCTTACTGAAGGCAAGACGAAATGAAATGAACTGTTACCAAAAAGTATCGATCCTTTAACTTTCCCTGATATTTGGGAAACAGTCCACCAGTCTTGGTTCTGATTGGAGAACACAGTGTAGACTCATAGGAACCAGAAACAAGGAACATGTAGATCCATATGTAGTTCAGTTCTGGAGTTCAGCCTTAAATTATGACTACGAATTAACTGGCTCAAGATTCCACCTCTGATGGCCAGCATCAGGAGTGAAAGACAAGACCACAGATCTCCTTTCCCAGGGCAGCTTCATCACAAATACCGACTTTGACTGTGTACAGCGCTGAGACGGCCGGAGAGGGAAAGAGCTCACAAATAAATGTCCCACTCCTGGACTCAATCCAGTGGAAGTGTTCTTCTCGGATGAGAATTTAATCCTCATGTATTAACAAAAATACAATATACTACATACTGATAATACCACAGGAACAGCACCATAAGCATCTAGGGGGCTATTGTTCTACAGCCATGTGGTGTCTGACAGCGAGCTCACAGCTGTGGATGTTGGCAAACACCAGGAGCAGGACTGAGGCTACGGACAGAAACTGTGGCGCTATCAGAAGTCAATGTACTGTCAAACAAGCAGCAGAATCACTTCTGCAGCTCTGACTGAACCTGGGTCATGTTTTGATTTGCCCTCACTGGAGAAAGAAATGTTCTTCTCAGATCATATACGAGGGGAAACATCTCTTGCCACTTCTCACTGTCATAACTCCACTTAATGTGAGTTCTGCCTCAGTGTTAAAGGACTTTGACTGTGATGGGCTGTAAAACGGTTGGTTATAAGATGATGGGTGATTGCGCTGGATTTATAGCCAATGACTGTCCTCTAAACCCCCCGAGGTCCTTACCAGTTTCAGCAAGGCTTCAACACCTTGCAGCAGATCCACAGAAACACAATTGAGACTTTTGCCTCTCGGCCGTTCTGACTCAGAAAGATCGCTGCAGCACGAGCATGAGCTTCAGCTTCTGTAGCCTGATTTTAAATGCCACAGCGTCCAGCTCCAGTCCTTATTCACACTGGCACGCTGTTCTGGGGGAGTGTTGGTGTGACTGCGTGAGACTCTAACGAGGCCAAAAGTCCATCTCCTGGGATTTCATGTTTGGATGGAGGCACACTGGTTTCTGGACTGGAGTTTAATCCCTATGTGGTCTGTCGGGGTCTAATTTGGGAGAAGAGGAGGACTGGACACAAAGAGCTGGGGCATGAAGAACCAGTCTGACAAAGCCAGCATGAGGAATGCAACATTTGCTCTGGTGTTTTTATTGGGTGAAAATAAAAAGAAGTGAGTTCAGTGGTGTGTATCTGCAGCAACTTCACACTTCTACACAGACTGTACAGGGTTCACCACTTTGGTTTTGAAAGGACTGAGACTCTGCTTCTCTTCCCTTTCACAAATCTAACACTCCAACCTGACATCCCAGTGAAGTCGGAGACTGTCTGGAACATTTCGCCCCAGATTAGGGCCCATATGATGGGGTGACAGAAAACCCCACCGGATCTGGAAACTACTTAACTTGCCAGCAGCTTGGCTTCATTAACCACTAGCCCTGGTCCCTGCTCAGCCAATTACAACTTCAGCTATGTCTGGAGGGAGTGTAGCCACCGGACGCCTTAGACTTCACCTCCGCACAGCATAAACTGCACCTCCCGTTCTGGTTTTCATGATGATGGTATATCCTCCTGCAGACTGCAGACTTCATTTGTTAGGTTTGTACTGTTTAGTGTTGAGTTTACACCTTGGCTGCATTTATACTATTGGCTCGGATTGGATTTTCTTTTCCATCCAGGTGGCACATTAAAGGCTTCTATCATCATTTGGCATCAACAAATAATGCCCATTCACACATTTACAGCCTCCACCGTTAGCTATTTACATCTTTAATGAGGAGACATAAACAAAACATCAATGGAAAAAAGAGACTGTGCTCCACAAAGAGGTGGGAAAGTAAAACTATTTGGTTTGAGCTGAGGCAGTATATCCATCTAAAGATGTCGAACAGAGATGTGTTTATCGATAAAACAGCCGCTGGCTGCTAAGGAGAAGTACTCAGGGTTCCTACGTAGGTCTGGAAGAGAACTTAGTCTTTCAAGGTGTGATGAAAAATATTTTTACTGCCCATTTACTTATGTATGGTTTTGAATGATTGTTGATCAGTTTTAATGACTCAGCAGTTACTTGTACATGTTGTGCAGGGAACTCTGGCATTTAAACCTTATTTTATTTATTTCAGTTAAAGCTACTTAAAGTGATAGTTGTCAAGGTATGAGTCATAGTTTACTTAAAGCTCCTGAAAATTGATTCAAAGGATATTAAATATTTATAAACAAGCAACATTCAAAGTTAAAGGTACTCCATGGAGTTTTTGACGACGAGCAGGGCTACGGAGGAATGTTTATTACCTGTGGTCCCCATTTTGTTTATTCAAGAAGAAGTCAGTGTAGCTGTCTAGTGACTCATAATGTGTAATACAGTGAGCTGAGAAAAAACAAACAAATCTGCTGCCTCAAAAATGGCCGAGAAGATAGTTAAAATTGTGAATAGAGTCTCTGTAGGAACTGTGAGTGCCAACCGCTGCAGCAGATGGTACATCATGTGCAATGACATGTGACCTGTGTATGTGTGAAAACACAGCACATTAAAAGTCAAGGGATGTAAAGTTTTACATCACTTTTGGTTAGATTGGAAGATTTATGGTAGACACACACACGCACACACACACACACACACACACACACAGACACACACACACACACACACACACACACACACACACACACACAGTGAGGAGGGTTGGAGTGTCATACTGCCCCCAGTAGGTGATGGGAAGATCTGTGCCTCCTATTCTGATATCAGTTCTGTTGTATTACTGTATGATCTTTGGATGATATTGTGTAACCACATATGACTCTCGTGTACTCTCTGCTTTCTGTGTTATTATCCTATTTTGCACATAACAGATTTTATGGGATGCTTTAGTGTTGAGCTGGGCTCATTTTAAGTCAGTTTGGCTGAAACTGGACATATTTGTGTTTTCTCTCTCTCCCTCTCTCTCTGTCTCAAACACACACACACGCACACACGCACACACCACACACACACACACACACACACACACACACACAAACACACACATTCATGCTTTCGTGCCTTGTCCTGCTGCTGGACGTCTCTCACCTACAGCTGCTCCATTGGCAAAAGACACCTGCTACCTTTGCATTTTTTAAGTCACTCAGACACACACACACACACACACACACACACGAACATGTCTTCTGGCTGAGAGCTGTGCCTTCTGAGCTGTATGCACACACACACACACACACACACCTACATGAAAACACACACTCTGCCTTCTGCTCGGGGTACAGGCGCCTCCCACTCTTCACTTCTTACTGCTTTGTACACTGACAGTGTTTTTTAAGGAACGCTGTAGGCTAAAGGAGAGGATGTGCTGTGAATTCATATTAGGTCGTTTGCTACTTTTTTTTTTTTAACATGTAGTGGAGGGTTTTGAGGCATTTCTGCTTTTCTAGACGGCGAGGAAGGGCAGGAAAGACGGCAGACACAGAGGGTCATCTGCTAGATTCAACTCCCTGATATTGCAGATACCTGCTCTGTCTTTCCGTATCTGTTCTGAGCCACTCGGAGACTGTAGAACAACCGAAGGGTGAAGATGACAAAGCATCTAAAGGTTTAGACATATCAGTGTACCGCTGCTGTCATGAACTCGCGCCTGGTTCAGTGTTTCCTAGGAGTTGTCAGCTATCACGGCCCCGCGTTATTGATGTTTGTTTCCCAAGATGCTCCCTCCAGCTTCAGGATGAATGTGTAAATTGTTGTGGAGATAATGTGGCTTTCATCAGGACATCTCTGGGCTCCCTGGCAGCAGAATAACACATTCCTATCACATTCGCTGCCTGCAGTCGACTCTGCGCCCCCCACCCCCCAAGCAGACAACACCCTGTTACAGCATGGGAACTGTTATCAGCTTCTTCAATTTCTCACAGTTGTACACCACAACATTGTGATCAGACAGAGGGGGGAGCAGGGTTATCCCTCTCTGCTGTGCTAGCCTAAATTAGGAAGCACATGACACAGATCTGACAGTATTCCCTGTAGCATTTATAACCTAAAGTAGGTCTTTTCTCCTGTCGCTGACCCAATACACTGATTCCTTTCTTTCTTTTTATTCTCCTCCACAGTTGATTCTTAAAATAGTTTCTGAAAATGTGTGGAGCACAAGTTTTTCAGGGTTAAGTTCTGTGTTGTTGCTGTGCAAGGAACATCAATCAGGAAATAAAGAGCTGCATAGCTTGAGAGTATTTTGGGAAACGTGGACCTTGATTGTGTTTATTTGTTGTTGTTGTTGTTATTGTTGTTGTTGTTGTTGTTGTTTTGTTTTTTTTTGTCCAGGGAGCAGCTAGTTTTCTCAGGTGAAATTTTAATGTGTGGTTCAGTCACTCTGATAATGGCGATAGAGGTGTAGTTGACTAGAGTGGTGAGTTTCTGCCACAGCTTAAACTGGACTCATTTCCTTTTAAAGGTGCATTTTTTTTAATTTTTAATTTTTTTTTTAGGCCGGACTCCTTAAAACATCCCCGCAGTAAAATCATCTTTGTTCTACTTTGCTATAAGTAGAATCCAGGATGCTTTAACACCCAGTATTATTTATTACACCAGTGTGTCTCGCACATTATGTGCTGAGGCACATTTCAGCCACAAACATCACCCAATTACTGATCCCCTGAAAATATGTTATCAAGCTTTGTACAGCTGCACAAAGCGGCAGACACAAACAAGTGAAATATACCA